ATCTATCTATCTATCTATCTATCTATCTATCTAGTTATATCTATCTATATATCTATCTACCTATCTATCTATCTATCTACCTTATATCTGTCTGTCTGTCTATATATATATATATATGTGTGTGTTCAAATGTGGTATAAACTAGGAAATAAAGTCAAGTTAATGAGAGCAAAGAAGCCTAATTGAGTGCTTATCACAATGCTTTATGCAAATAAGTGAATAACTGTGTGAAAAGACAAATCCATTTGACCAGTCCAGCAAAATGTTACAACCAAAGCAACCTAGGCCCTGGATGCTGGTAGGTGGGCGCGTCAAAATATCATTTTAGGGTGTATTTTCGTGGACTCACATGTGCGCCTCGTTTGGCCGAACAGCGAACAGGTGACAGCTCGGAGGGTCAGTCAGGCGCATCGAAAGGGACAGGGTCTGTTGCCGAATCGCCTCCGCTGGCACCGACCAGCTCAGCCCCAACCGCTGAGGGGTCAGTTTCACCCTATCGTTGGCCGGTGAAGGGTGGGATGGGGGTAGAATTATAAATGCACAAAGAGCCAGCAATCTCGTCCAAACTTAGCAGCAGAAAAAAACAATCATGTGAACATAACTAATATTGAATAGAGCTATTCCTGCTCACACGAAACATAATTCTGGTCTACATGCTGTCCGCAATGTGGTACATGAAATTGAGCTTAAAATATTCTCTTTTCTGGAATTTCCGCCTTCTTCTTGAGCAAAGATGTGCAAAAGTGGAGGGCTAGGCGTTCCAGCCTAAAGACTTCGAAATTGCATGTCGAGCCTTATTGAGATGACCTTTTGATCTGCTCTTCTGAATCTTGGACAACCCAACTACCAGTCCTCAAATCACCCTGATCCACTTTATCCATGCGTGTCCAAGTATTGATAGTCTCCAAAAGTTGATATGAGTGTCTTATATATGAAATGATATACAAATAAATATACATCTGTATGGCCATGGTTGTGTGTGGATCACAGTGAAGATTCGACATGTAAGGTAGGCCCGGCCTCCTCCAAATCACCTCTTAAAAAGGGGTAGCGCCAATGGAGCAAACGGG